ATCAAGAGAAACTCCTTAAGACTTCTGCCACAGCTAGAATTGGATGTGAATAACATAATTATAGACATTTGAAACTTTCTTTACAATATTCTCTCTAGGACTTGAAATAGTCTCTCTTTCATCACTCAATGAAGTGACAACTTTTGTTCCTCCCCAATTAATTTTCTTCCTCCCTCTATTTTTTCTCTATCATACCTAGCCTTAACATACTTCCATACATGCATTTGATAGTAATGACTGTTTGTTCAGGCTGTCCGCATTGGAGATTTGGAGTTGTTTAGGGCAGTAGCTGAGAAGTTCTCAACCACTTTCAGCGAGGACCGGACTAACAACTTGATTGTCCGTCTGCGGCACAATGTCATCCGTACCGGGCTGCGCAACATCAGCATTGCATACTCTAGAATCTCATTGGCTGATGTGGCAAAGAAGCTGAGGCTGGACTCTGAAAATCCCATTGCTGATGCCGAGAGTATAGTGGCTAAAGCCATCAGGGATGGTGCGATTGATGCAACATTGGATCACACCAATGGACACATGGTCTCCAAGGAGACAGGAGACATTTACTCCACGAACGAGCCTCAACTTGCTTTCAACTCCAGAATTTCGTTCTGCCTTAACATGCATAACGAGGCTGTCCGTGCCCTTCGTTTCCCTCCGAACTCCCACAAGGAGAAGGAGAGTGCCGAGAAGAGGAGAGAGAGACAGCAGCAAGAGCAAGAACTTGCCAAGCACATTGCCGAGGAAGATGATGATGACTTTTGAAGGAAAAAATTTCTCTGCAGCTTCTTAATAGCGCACCACCTGCAACGCCTCTGCAGCTTTTAAGTATTGCATCATACATATATCTCATCAGACCAAGGAGTGTTCTTGTTTTTGCGAATTCAAGCATTAATCTATCACCGAGAATATGTTTTTTCGACTTCTTCTTTGCTCTTTTTTAATTACTTTGGAACAATTCATTTTGTTGGTATGGAATTAGACTTTCTATCACAACTCCTAAACGACTCCCAACTGCTCCGTGCAACAGAATTGCATTTTGAGTAATGTTATGCGGTCAAATGCTTCCAAAATCATACGATTAACGAAGCATTTTCTCAGAGTAAGAATCCTGTCTTGTGCGTGTGTGTTGGTGACCAAAATCCATTATAGAAGTGACCAAACTTCGAGTTTCATGGGTTAATGATGGTGTTGTTTCATTTATTGTTTCATGCTTTGACAACAATACAACTCAATAACCTTGCATAATTAAAGAAAATGGCGTTCCAACCGTATAATCTTTATCTCAGAGTATTCATCTAGTTTATTTTCTTTGAACATACCATCTTTCATCTATCATTATGCCCTCTTTTTTTCTCTTCAAAATGCACATCATTTCTTCCCAACAATTTGATGTTGATGTGCAAAACTCTCTTGAAGACATTTAATTCTACTTTGTTGAAGTATTTCTCGAAGTATTTTGAAGTTCTTTGGTTTTTTAATAATTTTTATTTTTTGAAATGAACTATTATAAATAAATTCAATTTTTTATTATGTTTTCGTAAATTTTGAGTTTTGATAATATTCAAAATCAGTTCGGTAATTAATTAGTTTCAAATTCAAATTAAATTAGTTTAGTACATCATAATTATTTAGTTTACATATTGAATTTGATGAATTTAGTAATTAGTTTAGCATGTAATTATTTTGAATGAAATTAGTCTAGCAATTACTTTACTATTTTATTGGTGTTAAACTCTGGATTTAATTAGTTTTTAATTGGGTTTGTATTTGATTAGTTTTAAATTTTGAATTTAGTATTTATATTTTAAAATTAAACTTGAATTTAATTAACTTTGGATTTTGAATTTTCGGATGAATCAGAATTAGGTTAGTACAAGTATGAGTTTTAACCTTCTTATTTTGATAATCCTAAATTGTTTGCCATGTTGTACTTGATGTTGTATTTACAACCGGCTCATCAATAGACCAAACATCCATACAAATCGAGGTCCAAACGTAACGTTCTCACCAACTTGAACCATACTCTATGCAAATAAAGGCATATTCACGGCGTACATCGATGAAACTTATTTGCTCATAACATTGTTTTGGTTGAGGAGACACATAGGATTCAATGATAGGTTGGAAGCATGTAACGTTAGTTCTTGAAATTCAAATGTTGCAAAATGAACACCACAACTAAGACCGAATACGTAGAATGTTGTTTCAATGATCGAATGACAAAACTGGAAGTGGAAGTGAGAATTGATTCACTTTCAGTGACTAAAAGAGACAAGTTTTAATGTCTTGGGTCCATCGCTGATCGAGAAATGGATGCAGTAATTATTTATCATACTAGAACTACTTTGACAAGGGAAAATCTAGCTTAAGTTTCCTTTGTGACTAAAGGTTATTGAAAAACTTGAAGGGAAAATTTGGTTACACAATAGTAAAATTGACTACTCCTTCCGTCCCGTTTGATTTAGCATGATTTTTAATAAAGTGAGTGTAGGTGATTGTGGTTTGTGTAGAGGAAAGAGAATTGATATGGACCACATACTTATTTTCTTAAAAGGAAAGAGAAGAAAATTTCGGGACAACCCAAATAGAAAAGAAGGAAGATAATTATGGACGGAGAGAGTATGTTGTAAAGAGAAGGGTGTCGGGCAATGATGAAAATTCACATTAGACAACTTGGGGTGGAAGAGATGATTCTCTTAAAGTGGATGTGTGGTCGTATGAGGATGGACAAAATCCAGAGTGAGACAATTTAGACATGTCATGAGAAAAAGTATGAATGCCCTAGTGAGGTAATGTAGTCCTAAGAAGAGCTAGAGGAATAACTTTAGACAAGAACATTAGTTAGATAAAATAATATTTTGAAATATTTTATATACTAAATCTAATAAACTCTTTTTGTAACAGTATCTAATACCATTTTTATTTAATTTGGGGTAAAAATATACCAATTATAACTGAAAAAAATCAAACTTAGATAAATACTTCTGAACGAAAGGGATAACTTCTAAATGTGTGAAATGTGTCGAACTTTTTACTCTCTGCATATATGTTTCTTTTGTATGTGTTGTGCTTTCCATTGCCAATTTGCTCATGTTTTTTGAGTCAGAGGCTTCTGAAAACAACTTTGCACCATAGTTATGACAATGCCAAGTCGAGACGCGGCGCTAGGTACCACCAAGACGCCTAGTCAACACATAATATAGGAGAATTGCTATACATTAAAAATACTAATATAAATATACCAAATTATATATTGTAGTTGGTAAGGTTTAAATTTTTCTAATACATCAAAGTTTAACTACCAAAGTTACTTTTAGGTACTTTCCTCAACAAAAAAACAAAGTTGAAAAAAAGTGTTACTGACTTAAGTTGGTAATAAATTAATCATTTAAAATTAAGCATGAGTATTAATTAGGAGGATAAAGTAGAAAAAAATATTAACTTGCAAATAAACTACTCCGTAATTTATAAGCATTAAAGAAACAAAGCACTAGAGCCGGGGGTATAAAACACTTTAAAAAAATAAAGCAATGGAGTGAAAAAAAATAAAAGTACTGGACTAGGCAACGGCTAGGCGAGGTATGCAAAATAAGGCGAGGCGAACTCTCATGGCAAGAGTAGAAGGGCGTCTGGGCGCCTAGGGGGTGCCATGATAACTATGATTTGCACTATCCAAATAAGAGTAAGATCTGCATATGCACACCCTGGACTCCATTTTGTGAGCTGAGATATTATTTGATCTGTTGTAGTTGTAGTTGTAGTTGTTAAGCAGTCACCCCAGCATCACTGGCATACTACAAGTCTAGAGCTACCGTAGCAACCCCAAGCCAATGCTTTCGGCTTTTGCCCACACCATCCATGCCTCCCGTCACTACCATCACCACCAATCCACCATGACCATTGTCATCATTCAGCTTCACCATCTCCCTACCCACTCCTACCAAATATCTGCAATCACCAACACCGTTAATGCTGGCCACAATGACCAATAACTACTACAGCCACAATCATCAAAACCGATGATGACCACCAATCTCCGCAAATGTTGGTACCCGCCACCATCAACCAATATTAACACATACTCCGCATAAATTTGGTTTTGGCCCATTTTTCAACTGTTAAAATTATACCCGGTATACACAATCATAGAAATATAATCATTGTTCAAAGAATCAGCAGCAGAAATGAAGTGCAAAACTAGAATAGATTATTGAGTGCATATCACCCTGTATTGCACAACCACAACCACACCTCTTTAGCACAGGCACATTCTGCTTGCCAACTTGATTAGAATAAGCAAACTCATGAGAAACTGAGGAAGTGGTTACTCAAGAAGATTCCCTTACATGGAAAACTAAGCAGATTTTGCTCATACCAGATATTTAGGCACTAACTAGAGATGGAGATATGAGAGAAAAGGTTATATACGTTGGAAGATCCAAACGATGGGCATACCATCCATACTTTAGCTTGGTTTGGGAAATAGGTTTAGTTTATTGAAATCAGTTTAGCTCTCAATGAGGTCACAATTTTATACTCCGGCGTGAAAAGTTGGAAGTTCAAAATTATGGCCATACGATGGAATGTGAAACATAGGGATGTGAAAAATAATAAAGTTTAACTCATTTATCCCCCCCTCCAAACATATACTGAGTACTCCGCATTATTCATTTTAAAAAAGACAGAACTATTACTTATAAAATGAAGAGCAGATTGGAATGTATAGGACCCTTTCCTATAGATGGAGAGGCAAATATCCAAATCCAATTACATGTCATGACTCATGTGGATTGCGTAGGTCTAGCACAACATTTTGAACTGAAGGGACTAAAGGCTATATTGCTTTAGAAAGTCGAATACGAAACAAGCAGATGGATGCAGTAAGATCAAATCATATAATCGTATCAGTCACTCTGAAAAATGACATTGCAGCAATTCCACCTGCAACTCCCTTAGGTCAGGTTAAGAACATGGACTTGAAACAAAGACCTCATTTTTAAAACCAAAATAGAAATTTACTGCTATTAATCAATGAAATGGTTTTGACATTTTCCTTGCTTAAAAGATCACTGCTCAAATAGTTACGACGGGGAATTTCAATGATCAAAACAGATTATGTTCTTAGCAGCATCTATGAGTACATGCTATTGAATGTGTGAACAGAAAATAGATAGCATTGAGAAAGTGAGATTATTGAAACAAAACTTAAAAAACAAAGATCATACAGAGCTCTTGAAAATGTTCCGCCTTGCAAGAAACCTGGCAACAGGAGGAGTCAGAGCCAAAGTAATCGGAACGCGGACGGGGAACAGAGCCTTATTGAGCAGTACAGCAAGGGCGATGGCGCCGCCGCTGGACGCCGCCAGCTCGGCAGTCCGATTCCTCGCCTTCGGCTGAGCAACCGCGTCGGCGCCGATCTCGTCCGGATTTTGAGAAGTCGATTCTTCAGATTTGGGCTTGAAGAGCCCCACCTTCTCGATCATGGACTCGACGTCGACGTTGTTGTTGACGGCGACATAGAGGCCGGTGATTGAAGCCGCCGAGACAGATAAGTGAACCCCCAATGCTACCTTTCCGTACTTCTTCAGCAGTTGTCTGAACCTCCCTCCGGCCATTTTTTCTCTATAACGATAATCCTAATAACAATTTTCTATTCTTAAAATGTGTAGAAGATGGGGGTTTCAGCTAGGGTTTTTTACTATTGAAGTCCAGTGCAATTTGAGCAAGGTGACGTAACTTGACCAGGGGGCAAAGTGTAAACTATATTTCATTGTGTTTGGTTACCATGAAAAAAAAACAATAAAATTCGGGATACTCCAAATTGTACATCACTTTGCATAACAATTAACATGGGGCGGATCCTGTAACATTGCCGATAATATCATGGGATGACTCGATAGCGTTACGGTATCCCGTTCGTAAAATTGTCCTGATTGTTAGGTTTACTTAACATTACCTGTGAAAAAATTTTAAAAAAACTTAAAAAATATCATGTATAAACAAAAAACGAGAAAACAAATTGAATGAATGATAGATCATTCTAAATTAACCATGTCAGTTCACCATTTAGAGAGTCAAACTTTAGTAATGTTCTTGACTCTAATTTTTTACTATTCACATGTTCAAACTTTAATCATGTTCTTGACACATTTTCGCTACCTGTTTGAGAAAATGATGTTACGATTGTTTTGTACCCCTTCTATCCCAAATTAAATTGCTTGTTTACTATTCACGTGCTCAAACTTCATTCACTTTCATAACCTATTTTTGTTAGTCAATTGATAAAATAATATAATCATATCACCACTAGTTTTATAGACATTTTGATATAATTTTTAAATATGTAGTAGTAATTTTTATTTTTTTAATTCTATACTATTTTTATATAACCTGATTTGAAAATAACTTCAGACCTTCAGTCAAACATCATAAACCGAAAAAGGTGATTTAAGTTAGGACAGAGGGGGTAGAACTTTAAATTGTACTCTGATATAAATTTATTTTTAAATTTCATATCAATTTTAAAATAATTCATATGAAAAATAACTTTAGTTAGATCTCATAAACAACAACATACAATTCTATTTATAACAAAGGGACAACCAAATAATAGAGTTATGAAAAGTGATTTCTTTTCAATTTTTTCAATTACCAAACAACCTAGAATTTTGAATTTCAATTCATTGATTTTCTTTTCCTTTCTTTAGCGTTTTCCTTTCTTTCACGATTTTTTTTAATAAAAAATATTGTTAGTTCCCAGAGAACTAGAAACAATTGTGTTCATTTCTAAACTGAAAAAGTTTTAGTGTTTAGTTTAAAAGTTATGCAAGGTTACTCAACAGTAATTTAAATTTTATCATTTGAAATTAACATTATAAAAAATTATTCAAAGTGGTAATATTAATTATAAATGATGTCCTCAAATTATGTAAAATGGCAATGCAATTAGTCCTAAGAAGTAGACATAGACGTGGTACCCATCCGATCCAATTAAGATTCTAGAACCGCCAGACCGTGCAAAATTAGTTTTTAATTATTCAATTTTTATTATTTTCCAAGATTTTAGTGCAAAATTAATTTTTAATGATAAATACTCTGCTAATTATTTTTTACCAAAGGTTGGGAAAGAGTTAATTTTTAAGAATGAAACAACATAAGTGCATCTATTAGAATCAATGTCATATTATATAGCATGAGCTCCTAATGATGAAAGAAAGACCTCTTAAAATTTTATTGAGTATAAGAAAAAAATTTGGACAATTGGTTCATTTAAAATCTCTTTTGATATTGTTGTTGTTAAAACGGTATGAAGCCACAATTGATTCAGTTATGCAGGCGGTGGAGGTGGTGGGCATGAAGTTGAAGATGGTGGTTGAGGCGACGGGGCTGCTGCTGCTGGTGGTGATCCATTCCGCCCTGATCAGAGCTCTCCAAGCCTTCTCTACCCATCTCCGCCGCCGGCCACCCTCTCCCTGCAGGGTTGCGCGTCAGCTCCAGCAGCGACTCCCGGACATCATCAGCTTGAACCGTTTCGCAATCCCTTCTCTGCAAAAACAGGGTTGGGATTTGGGCATCGACTAACTTCGATCAGCATAACAGGTGTTCGACAGAATGTCCAAGAAGAAGAAGAAGTGTGTGTGTGTGTGAAGCCTGTACCTCCACTTTGAAGATGTTTGAGACAAGACAGGTGTGTCTTGTTGTGTTCACATTTGTGACCTCCAGCCCTAGAGAGATCAGTGCCTCCATCAACCTCACAAATCCACCCGACTTGTGTTCGCAGAACACCTTCACCAGAAACTCGCTCCCGTCTAGCTGTGCAACTTCCACCTGAGGCTGCATTGCATTCATTCTTCAGTGAGTAGTGGCTAACCCAAAGCTTGAATTTTGATTCTTGAATACAAGAAAAGAGTATTATACCTCCATCTGTTGGATTTTGTCGTCTGTTTTTTCTGATTCTGCAACTAAATATTTTTCTGGTTCAGATTTCGGGACACGGGGAATCCTGTTCTTGTCTTCTGTTCTGCTTAGATGGTTACGTTTCCTCCCTCCTCCTCCTCCTGCTTCTGCTTCATCATCGTCTTCGGAGTTCAATTCCAGCTCATTCTGAAGGTCTGTTGCCTCTTTCTGCAACTCCATCACATACTCGATAGCATCTCCAAGTATGGAAGCTCTATCCAACTGTCAATATGATTATAGATAAAGTTTCTCTTATGTTGGCCTGCTTGTGGGGAAAACAAAATTAAGAAATAAAAATCTGACCTTGGAAATGTTTGGGACCAAGGCACGAAGAGCATAGAGCCTTTCGTTGAGTTTCTTCCTTCTCTTCCTCTCAGCCACAAGATTTTTGGATTTCCCATTCCTCCGGTACTTTCCATCATCTTCGTCCTCATTCTGATCGCTATCCGATATCGAGTGTGATTGACCGTTCTCTTGTCTGTTGTATGATGAGCCGCACAAACCCTTAACAGAGTCATCGTCGTTTCCATCTTTGTTATCCATCATCATTTGCTTCTGCACCATCACCACATCTATCTCATGATGATCCAATCCACTCTCTATCCTGAATTCACTCAATTCATTCGTGTTCGGCATTAACATGCTAGAACTACTCATCTGTGGGAGAAAACTCATTGGGAGAGAAGTTAGATCTGAGGATGGTGAGAAAAGATGGCGAGAATCGTCCATTTGATCATTATCTCCATTATTAGCATTATCAGCTGGAATCCCACTGCTCGGGTTCATCATCATGGCTGCTTGATTCTCCATGTACATGCTGCACTGACCTGTGACAAAGTCTATGACTTGTTGATCTTCGGCCACCAGTTTTGCAGTAAATAGCTCTATCAATCCAAGTGGTTGCGGTATCAAAACACGGGTTCCGATTATTTCCTGCCAGAAAAGAGAGAAAAAGTCAGGTTTCTAAGAAATAGGAACAATGAAATTCTTCTACTTGCACACATACACACACTTACGCCAGAAACATTGTTCGATTCTAAGAGCTGTGAGAAGTTCAACCATTTTGCTTGGTTTGACAGAAAGGACTGTGCATGCATTCTGCAATCATCATGCTATCAGTAAAATTTAAAATGAAACTGCAAGGCTCTGTTTGGTAGATTGATTCTGCTAATCAGCAGAATAAGCACTATGGTATCTTTTGGCTTATTTCGCTGAAATAGATGTTAAGAAACACTTTTCCTTTTCAAACCCCATTTCAGCCAAACAACCCTACCAAATTGGACCTCAAGTTTCATTCTAGTTTCATCAATTATATACATATACGGACATACGGTACCCAGAATCAAGAATGATAGAGGTGGGCAATTGTGACAGTAAATCACAGGGCTTGGTTCGGGGGTGCTGAAAAACGACATCTCTGCAAGGGGGAGAAGCCGACGAAGAAACGGAGAAAAGAAGCTCTTCCTCACAAGCATGGACCCCATCAGCAGCACCGGCACAGCAGCAACACATCCACTCAAGAAACCTTTGGTCCTCACTCATCTTCCAACACACACAATAATCCCAATTGTTTGAGTTCACTATGGGCCTTAGCCTATCCACAACATTCTGCCCCAGCAGGATCATCTTACCACTTCACTTTCTGCCTTTTTAGGATCAGAAACAGAATGTCAGCTTTTCCTTTTGGTACCCCCCAAAAAAGAAAACTGTAATATGTCAGCAGAACAAGAAAACATCACTAAAGCAATAACTGTCTGTCAGCAATGCTTGTGTGTGATTACAGATAGGAGAGCAANCCCCCCCCCCCCCCCCCAAAAAAAAAAAAGAAAATTGTAATATGTCAGCAGAACAAGAAAACATCACTAAAGCAATAAGTGTCTGTCAGCAATGCTTGTGTGTGATTACAGATAGGAGAGCAAAGAATGACAACATACCTGTCTCTAAAGATTGCAGCTTTGGTCCCAAAAGGATATGTCTGATTAGTACAGCAAAAATCAGGAGATATATTTAATTATCTCATTTTTATTAGATTTTCTCCTCTATATGGCATGTGTAGCATAAATATTAACAATATGATGGCACTTGATATAAAAATATATGTATATGCCCAAATATTGGTAGGTGAGCAGCACCTGATGCATGAGGAAAGAGAGAGAGAGCTGTTTGTTAGATAATTAGCCGGGTTTTCCCCGACATTTTTTGTAAATAAATAATTATATACTTATAGTTGTAGCCAATACTAATTTTGTGTTTTATCTAATGAAGGAAGGAGCACATTGCATGAACACACCAGCTGGTGTAACTAATTTGGTGCTAGAAAAGTTCCGATCGTTTCAAACTCCCCTTCTTAAACAGAATCATATCGACACGGATTTAGGAAGAGATCGTTCCAGAGAAGGCCAAATTGCTCAAATTCTCTTGGACAAAGTACAGTACCATAAACATGACTGTAAGATGAGGGAATGAGTGAATGAATGGTGTCTTGGAGTTGATGGTAGTACATGTTGCACATAATGACTGGTATTTCAAATTTTGTTCACTTATGTCATCTTGCTATCTCTGACGTTTGTGTAAAATCTTTCTAATGAAGCAAATATTGTGTAATTGATGTTGCAAATTTGGTTCTTGGCCCTTGCATATTTGGTCCATTTGCAAAAAAAATGAGACATAAAATAACAAGGAATACTATGGTGCACTTAAGGTCCATTTTTTTTTTGGTTAACTTTCATATATAACTTTTTCTTTTTTGTTTTTAAAAAGAAAATTCAAAAAATGTTCATCATGGCAGTAAGCCATGATTTTTAAGTGCACCAAACACATAACACCTTAGGTGCACCAAATGAATTGTCCATTATTATAGGTTTAAAAAGTATGGCCTAAAAGAGGGAGGGTCTTATAACTCCTGCATTGAACCCGAAAAACAATAAAAATAAGAACTTCCATCCAAAAACTTTTACTATTCATGTAGTTAAACTTTAATCACTTTCTTTACATATTTTCATTAATCATTTGATAAAATATTATAGTCATATCATTTCTTGTTTTGTTGAATTTTTGAAGTTTTTAATGATATAATTTTAATTTTTTAATTTTACACATACAACCAAATAAATTCAATTAAAAATAACTTCAGTCAAATCTTGTTAACCGATATGAGAACTCATAAACAAACGGGAAGAATGTTTAGGGAGTAATGAGTATTATAAATCAGAGCTTTGAACTTTTCATTGTCGACCACGAAAAAAAAGGATGGCATGTGCAAAGGGGAAGGGGATTCATTGTGATCATGACGCATCAATGGACCTGTTTGGCATTGCAATTAGGAATTGTTAATATCAATTATCCACCCCACCACCGCTGTTTTATATGTTTATGATTTTAACTTCAAATTTTTATTATTACTTAACATTCGATCTCTCCATAGAGTAAGTAAAATACCAAACACGGTCTACAAAACATACTCCGAGTAACACTCCATAGAGTAAGTAAAATACCAAACACGGTCTATGAAACGTACTCCGCCGCTTCTAGTTGGTGGTTTGGTTTAGTATAGTCAAGCTCAGCTCAACTCCTACATGCTAGTCATATACTCCATCCATCTCAAAGATAATTTCTCACTACGACTTTATGAAATCTAAAAATGTACTAAAAAGACATTGAAAAGATGTTAGATAACAAGAAAGTAAATGGCAAAAATTAAGTTAAAAGAATATATTCAACCACATTATCATCTTCTAAGATGAAACGAAAAGGCAAAATCAATGAGAAGAATATTCAAAATGAAATTGTGAAATCTTATGGGATGAAGGAAGTAGTTATGCTCAAAAACTGAACTCTATAACTCTATGCCTGAGCTCAACTAAACTCGTGACTCATAACGTGTACATATTGACTCAAAAATCATGAACACCTAATATGAAGATATGATTTTTTGTGCAATAGAAAAAGAATGGAGAAAATAGTTGAAGCTGGCAGTAAGACAATATCATTGAAAAACAAGAAGTCATAACACGAGTAAAAGGATAGGTTGATAACCGCACTTTGGCTTCTTAAAGAGAAGAGCAGAATGACAAGTTCGGAAACGAAATAGAGTACCAGATAGACATATTTACTACTACTACTAAGCCATAAAGAAATTTGTTTTTTGAAGCATGTACTAGGGGATATTAGGCAACAAAGCATCACTCGAGCGTCAAAAGATGAGGGACTTCATATCTTCCATTCACTCAAATGCCCAGGCATTCTCCCTCCTGACCTCCTCTTCCTCCTCTGGTGTGAAGTCATTCTTGATGTTGAACGTCTTGCGGATCTCCTCTGGTGTCTTTCCCTTGATCATATCAGCAACAGTTTGACAGGTGAGGTCCAGCAAGCTCTTTATGTTGAGGTAATTGGCAGCCTAAAACAAAAAGGTGATACCATAAACCCATCAAAACTATCACAGAGAATGTACTATGAATACATTGCCCTCCTAGCGAGGTGAACAAATGCAGCCCACAATAGAAAAGTGATTGCCGGAGGCATACATGATTCAACAGCAAACAAAAATACATACTACCGTATAGTCACAATATCCAGTAAACAACATGTGTGCCATATGCAAACTAAGAAAAGACATCAAACAGGATTAAATCATAATACAATGCGCTCATATAACAAACAGAAGCCTGAACCTCTATGTGACAGTTTGATGGCTCAAATAGATTATAAGAGGTTGGTCTTTCAGCAGACAAATGTAAACAAAGCACATACCATATGTAATAGTAGATGGTAAACACCAAACCTGTCACAAACATAACTTACCCTTCAAATAACAAAATCAAAACAAGTACAAGCTTTGATCGCCTGTTGGAGCAACAACATTAGATGTCAAAGGCAAATAGTTAAAGGCAAAGGCTAAATAATCATCAAACCTTCAATATATATATTGATAGGTTGAAATTGCTATTATCAGAGCAAATCAGAAGAGATCTACACAAACACAGATGCCAAATATATATAAACCCTAGCATCAGATCATCAGTTGAATACAGAGTAATCAGAACAATGAAATATCAGTTACGAAAACGAAAATCGATTGAAGTGAGAATAGTCGAATAGAGATTCAAACCAGGATGAGATCGAAGAGGGTCCCCTGATCAACTTTGACGAAATCGGCATCCCAGGTCTTGAGATCCTCGTCGGAGAGCTTATCTTCGGACTTGCCAGCTTCGACGTGGCGCTTGCAGTACTCGATGACCTTAGCCAGAATCTTGCTGTTCACGTTGGGGAGAGGGATGACAGAGTCCGCACAGTCATCCTCGATCATGTGCTTGATCGTCTGAGACTCGAGCGCCACCAGTTCATCGACTTCAAAAGCCTCGCCGTCGGAACTCTTCAGGTTGATCTTCTTCGTGGTAGACATCGTCGAGATTTCGGGCGGATCTGGGAAAACGCTGTAACCCTATGAGAGAGAAGGAAATCAATAGACGTCCGAAGGGTAAAACAATGGATAGGCGATAAAGAGTCGTGTGAAGAGGCGGTTAATTTATACGAGGAGGTTTTGGCCCAACCCTATTATGGTTAGAATTCTACTCCGAGTCATTATTTTTTTCCTCTTTTTTTTAAAATAAAAATTAAAATTCCGTCTCTTTTTTATTCTTTTCTTATTCTAGATAGTTTTAGACTTTTGTTAAAAATAGAATCGAGCAGTGAGACTTATAAAGGTTTAGAAACACTTTTTGAGCTTCTATTTGAGTACAATTTCTTGTATTTGTTTTCTATTTATAAATTATAACTTCTAATATCATATTCTTTAGAACTGAAAAAAGAATCAGATGTTAGAAAAACTGAAATAATTGGAAAAAATTGAAAGAAACATGAATGAACTAAGAGAAATTGCATGAAAATAGATGGAACTGAAAAAACTAGAAAAAATTGGAAAATCTAAAAAAATTAAAAAAAATTATTTAAGTGTAAAGAAATCACTCCTAATAGGACTAAAACATTATTTTATTCTCCAAAACAAAAGTTCATGTTTTTTATTACCCAAATATGACTATTCACGTGACTTATACACCAGAGTATATTTTTGTCTACCTTTTATGACTTTCTTGCATGTTTTCTAAATCCTTCTACATTTCGCATCTCTTCCTTCTCTTTAGGGGCGGGCGTGGTCCGTGATACTACTGAAACCTATCACGGACTGCTCTTATTTAAATGATTTGGTATCGGTACGGTATGAACCCCAAAACCATTCGGTATCATTTCGTTTTGAAACGGAACGGTACAATACCATACTCATGCTCAAATCGTGCCAAAAAAAGAACATGCATCACTCAAAAAATATTTTTTAAAAAACATAATTTTGTATTAAAAAAGCACAACTTTTTTAAATCGAAGTATTGATTTCAAAATTTAAAAGATCATAAACATAAAGAACAAAAGATAACAAGTTCAAACTTTAAAAATAGTAATAGTAGTAATGAATATAATATCAACAATTATAATGAAAGAGTTTTCAAAATGAATAATACAATACGAATGAAGTTGTAACACCCCAACCCGCGTGACCCGAATACAAGGACCAGCGGACCGGGTTGTCACTAAATTGGTATTTAGACACATTAATTTTCAAAACAATTTAAAACATTTAATTCAAAACAATATTTAAAACATTCATCGTAGTTAATAAAACGGTGCGGAAGCCTTTAAGTACTTAATCAAAATATAACTTTGGGTTCTTGCCCTTAAGAATAGAATAATTCAAACTTAAATATTAAATTAGATAATTCCTCCAGCTAGCATCCACCTATCTCTTCGCCCTCGCTGCCTCCAAGACTGTCTCATTATTCATCATTCCTGTTACCTACGTGTAGCAAATAGGAAAAAGGGTTACACGCTCAGCATTGAAGCTGAGTGGAATCTATCTAACGCTCGACTACGCAAATAGACGAACCCACTAGCTCATAATTCCATACAATATCATGCACATAAGTACAACATCAACAATATCATATAATTCATGTAATTCATCAATTAAGCATAATTATCATAATTAACAACTTATCTCATAATCCACTTCTTTATTTCTAGGCTCATAACCTATCCTAGGCTAAGGCCAACTACTTTATTCTAGAGTCCCGATTCAACCACATCCATGGAAGAACCCGCTCGATACGACGTCATCCAACGTCGGCTAGGTGGGACCACCTACTCACATCCGTGAGCAGATCTACGACCCCCGTGCGCACGCTCTACCCAACTGATCATGCGTGCACGCCGGCTCATCACATGAACAGTTATTCCTAATTGTATTCTTATTCTGTTTCCTCGATCTACCTATAGTTCGGTTAGGTAGCATATCCGTATTCAAATTCATAATTCCATATTTCCAAATTCATACAAGAATACAATATGTTAAATAACATTCATAGTCACCAAATAGCGGCCTAGTGTCAGCTGTAAACACCTTCCACTTACCGTCATGTAACTCACACAATTTAGAGTAAGAAACGTACCTGGTCGCCCTTGTTCAATCAATTCCAATATCATCATATATTATAAAT